TTACTTTTGGTGATGAAAGAGGCAATGCAATGATGGTTGAAGTTGACACAACTTGATCAAAGTAAATAAAGACAATAAAATGTGCATGTGGAAAAAAGACAATTTTAATAAATTCTATAGCATACACAGCTTTGCAATGAAAATGAATTAGCCAAAATATGGGTGTGGTTTTATAGGTTGTCATTGAAGCATATAAGGAGGTATATGGGGTTAATGCATATACATGTGTAAATACATGTTTAAGCATATTTATACATTTATGAGTGCTGCCTATAAATTAATATATATAGCAAGTTGCAAGGGGAACAGTTAGGTAAAACTATTCAACATATCTAAATAACACATGGACTTTTTTTACTGGTCAAAAGAGAAGAGATCATACTTTTGAGTGACAGCTTAATCAATTGGCACACACAAATATGACATTCTACATTCTAGTTTGGTGAGTATCATGTGAGGTTTTATAAACTTGGAGTGATCATCTAAGATATAACTATTAATCTTTACACTCACAAAGAAAAATTTTAAAAGGTAAATAAGTCAAAAGTTCAAAGAACAAACTAGTCCACAGGATTAATATTCCACAAAAAGCACAGTCCCTTCTAACATAAGACCAAATGAATGGATGGTTTCTGTCTACACCTCCTGACTGTTCTGACCAGCTAAACAATAGATGGCTACCAAGATGATGGGAGAAGAATATAAAACACCAATTAAAAAAAAATTCACCCACTGCAAAGATATTCCAGAGTTTACTGACTAAAGACATGATGAATTTGGAACTGAAGCTATTTTTTTCTGGTCATGTTCTAGCCAAATAGTACACTAATTTATAAATGAATCTATATTATTAATGAATACAGAAGCCCTTTAAACACTTAAGGACATGGTGAACATATACCCAAATCAAAGATAAGAAGTCAAGGAAGAGAATGGAACTAGGTTAATGGAAACAGAACAAATAGGGTGGAAATAATCAGATTTTTATTTGTGGATTATACTTAGTTTTGTGGCTGTTATTAGGTGATGTTGAGTCAGTTCTGACTCAGAGTAACCCTATGTGCAATAGAAGAACCCACTACCTGGTCCTGTAACCTCGTCACAATTGTTGTTAGCTGTGAGATCTTTGTTGTAGCCGCTATGTCAATCATCTCATGATGGGTCTTCCTCTTTCACTGACCTTCAACTTTACCAAGCATGATGTCTTTTTCCAGGTACTAGTCTTTTCTTATGTACAAAGATAAAGTCTCACCATCCTTGCTTCTAGGAAACAGTCTAGCTGTACTTATTTCAAAACAGATTTGTATGTTTCCTGGAAGACCCTGGTATTGCAAAATTCTTCACCAACATCTTCAATCAAAGATATCAATTCTTCTTTGGTTCATATTCACTGTTCAATTTTCACATGCATATGGGATTGAATATACTATGACCTGGGGCAGGCATATCTTAGTCCTTAAAGTCACATCTTTGTTCTTCACTGCTTAAAAGAGGTCTTTGTTAATACATTTGTCCAATGCAATACGTCATTTAATTTCTTGTCTGCTTTAATGAATACTGACTCCAGAATTAAATAAAACTCTGAAAACTGTGGTCTTTTCTCAGTTCAACTTGATGTTGTCTACTGCTGCAATATGTAAAAATTTTATGAAACAGAACCGACCAATTTATATAAAATATAGTTGAAATCCAATCTGCTATGCTGTGTGAGCTTCATGTAAAGCACAATAAAATGAGGAATATTATTTTTAAAGCACGGGGCATGATTTCATCACATATAAAATATATATAACAAGTTCATTTTGAATGTAAAGGAGAAGTCTAGATAGAAGGTAGGGAGGCAGTGAATGTTAAGTTGGAGGAAAGAGTATTAAGAAATATAGCAACCTATCCATAGCTCAGTATGATAGGGACTTTGAAATATAAACTAATAATGATCCACCTATAACATTGTTGTATTTATAAAAATAATCAAAATAAAATTAAAATGGGAAGAGTGAGGCTGCAGGAAACTGAAATATCAATTATGATGATAGGCAAGTAATTAAGTTAAAAATACTTAGTTAAGTAGATTAGAAATTATATAGGGACACAGTGGATTTAAATGGACTTTACATGTTTTCAAACTTGGTCAGCAAGAAAGTATCTTGACTTAAAAAATAAAACTTGGGTGTCAGATTTAATTTGCAGTAGAAAAGAAATAGAGAAGAAAAACAGGACAAGGTATGGATATTTCTATAAGTGTAGCAATTATTCAGGGCATTCAGTTTTGTGGATAAACCCATGAGGGATGACATTAAACCTTATGAGTCTCTCAGGGTTTAGGCAAGTGGATGGGAAAATCCATCAATCCATGTCCTTAACCCCTCCTCCTTTCCACACACTCCTTAGGAAGCATTAAAACAGTGGCTAACAATTTTCTTCTCGTATTTGAGCTCAGGAAATGAAACCTGCGTCCCTGAATTCCAGAAACCTTGCTATAAGTGCGCTGGATGATGAATACACCACTGTGTGCTCTATTAGACGTTGTAAACAGGGCAGTGTCCGGATTGTGGAGATAAAAAACAGTGTGACAAACTATCTGCAAATAGGTCACAGTATGATATTGGGAAAGGATCCTAACAGCTGCCGCATCTCTTCCATTCCATGGCTTTAACAGTGCGCTGTTCAGAATTCACAAATAGGAAGACAAATGGCAGAACAGAACATATGAGGAACTGAGACTGGAATTTTAGGAGGAAAATGATTTGATGACTGGAAAGTATAAGAAGATATGAAAATATACCTCAGGTATCTGGTAAGAACAAAGTGAGCTCGGGACAACGATTGAGAAGTTAATTTTGTAATTAACAAGCTCACTCCCATGATTTGGGTTCATGAACTTCTATAACAACCCTCTCTCTATGCCTTTTACCAGGGAATCGGGTAGATATTACCTTCCACATGCCACCCCACCATTTGTACCATAACGTAAGTCTCACATTTCAGTTCTTGTCTGAAAGGATATGTATGGTACTTCTGACTTATTTAGTGCAAGAAAAAAATTTTACCCCTATTAGAGTCAGTTGTCTGTAACTGAGAGTAAATGAGAATAAGAGTACATGATTGGTTGCCCAGTGGTTTGGTTGGGCTGTCGGCAAGCATTGAGCTGCTAGCAGCAAGGTTTTGGAATTGATATTCCATGAGAGAAAGCTGGGACTGTTTATTTCCATATGATTAACAATCTCGGAAGAGGTAAGGAGCACATCTATTCTGTCTGAATCTGAGTTGCTATGAGTCAAAATCAATTCCATGGCAGTAGATGGTTTGTGGTCTGACTATCTTTAATGTGTGTCACAAAATTTAGTGTAATCTCCCTCTGATAATACATTCCTTTCGCACTTCATTTCCCCCTTGAAATTTATCGACTTTAACCAGAATGGTTTTCTTTATTGTGAACATGCCTGATCACAGTCAGTTAGTAATAAGCTGATTGAGATCACTTTCATGGATTGAAAACAATTTTAGTAAAAAGTCTAGAGAAGGATTAAATAACAGAATCCTGTACTTTACAGAATCACAAATGTCCCTTCATATGGCTTTAGAACTTACAAAGGACAAAATGTACAATTTTTATAGTTTTGTTCCCAGAAGACCTTTTAAAGAAGGTATAATAGGCCAAGGTTTCAGAAAGTTTATTTTCAAATTAAATTGGGAAGTTATTACGTTTTAAAATTTACTCTAGTCAATAACTCTTTTGAATCATTTCTTACACCCTCAAGTGTCACCTTTTCTCTTTCCTGCCTAGTTCTTCTGGGAAGCTTTAACGTAGTCTATTAATCATTGATTGTAATTTAATAGATGTTTATATATTAGTTCAAAGTCTGTTTCAAATTTTTATAAATACCTATATTTCAGTTAGAATCAATGAACCCAAATGGCCAAATATTTTGACAGATGGAAGTGAAGACAAGGGTATTTATATGGCTTAGTTGCTCATTCTTCCATTTTTCTATCTCCTTTGTTTAGACATTGAGCTGTAAACAATAAGGCTGCCAGCTAAAAAACAATTGTTGCTTTGAAAGAGAAAGATGAAGATGTCTGCACATATGAAGATTTATACTTACTGGAGCTTATATGAAGTCACTGTGAGGGAGAGTTGACTAGCTGTCCGTAAGTGTTGTTATTGTTTTTGTGTTGTTTGTGTTCTAGGAATGAATCTTTATTTCTGTACATTGCTAATGGTCAGTCTCTTGCCTCCAAGGAGTTCCTTCCTCTAAGAAATCTGCAACCTATCTTGAATTTCAACTGGTTACTCTGCTATTTTTAGCTCACAGCTAAATGTAAGAATTTTAGCTGTTGGAACTGTTAGCAAAAGGAAAAGCAACTTGACTAAATATCTGAAAACAGCAGAGAGCTTTGACAAGGAAAAGTCAGCGTAACCTAAACTTGAATTATTTTTTCCTCAAGTCTCCATCAGTAGAGCCAAATTCCGATGATGCTCCTTACATAAATATATTTTGCTTCATATATTAATTTGCTGGTATCTTTGTATTTACTGGTCCAAATTGACATTTCTCAGTTAAAGGGGATTTGGATCAATAGATTGCTAGAGAAGAGCAGAAATGTAGGTATTGCAGAGATTGATCAATCTGATTAAAATTCAGTTCCCAATTAGAAAACATCTAATTTTTGGTCAACAGGTCTTAGAGGGAAGTCACAGAAAAGCCAGCAGGTGATGTCTTAAGCAGGTGGTTTTACTGACTATAAATACAGTCTGCTTGCCATGTAACCTGAATATTATTGTGACGTGGTGCTGGTGGGTGTTTTCTTTGAAGTGATGTGTACATATGAATTAGACTTTTCCTCTCAACAATATTTGTGAGAAGGATAATATGATCACAGAGATCTACCAAAATAAAAACAAATACACAGATTGATGACCAAGAGTGAAAATTGAAGAGGCAGAGCTGAACTGAGTAAAAGACATCTTTGTCTGCATCAGAAGACCCACAGATATCATGCTCTTTTCCAATTCCACTGTCTTCATGCCCTCTGTGTTGACACTAGTAGGGATCCCAGGGCTGGAGTCTGTGCAGTGCTGGATTGGGATCCCGTTCTTTGCCATGTACCTCATTGCAATGATCGGAAACTTCTTGCTGCTGGCCGTCATACAATCAGAACACAGCCTCCATGAGCCTATGTACATCTTCCTAGCCATGCTCGGAACCACGGATATTGGACTTGCTACTAGCATTATGCCCAAGATGCTTGGAGTGTTCTGGTTTCATATGCCAGAAATTTATTTTGACTCTTGCTTGCTTCAAATGTGGTTTATACACACTTTTCAGTGCATTGAGTCAGGCATCCTGCTTGCTATGGCTTTTGATCGTTACATCGCCATCTGTTACCCTCTGAGGCATGCCACCATCTTAACCTTCCAGCTAGTCATCCGAATAGGTACTGCAGTAACTCTCAGGGCTGCTGCCCTTGTAACTCCTTGCATAATACTGATAAAGAGTCGGCTCAAATTTTATCATACAACAATCATCTCGCACTCCTACTGTGAGCATATGGCGATTGTGAAACTTGCTGCAGGAAGTATTTGGATCAACAAGATCTCTGGTTTATTTGTGGCCTTTACAGTTGCAGGATTTGACATCATATTCATTTCCTTGTCCTACATCCAGATATTGACCACCGTTTTACGTTTGCCTCAGAAGGAGGCTAGGTTTAAAGCATTTGATACTTGTATCACTCACGTTTGTGTCTTCCTCCAGTTCTATCTCCTAGGCTTCTTTTCCTTCTTTACACATAGGTTTGGTTCTCATATCCCCCCTTATATTCACATTCTCTTTTCTAGCGTTTACTTGCTGGTCCCTCCATTTCTTAATCCACTTGTTTATGGTTTAAAGACAAGACAGATACGCAGTCATGTTGTGAAAATATTCAGTGTTTAATGTCTAAGCTCATTAATATGTTCTCAACTTCTTTCAGCAATAATAATAATCTGTCAATAGAATCATAAAAATCCTATACATTATCTGAGATGATTGGGTTTTCTATTTAATTAGTTCTTGAAATGTATCAGCATCAAATCTGATTTCCACATCAACATAACTAATGATTACTCTGCAAGTATATTGTGGATCCTCCCTGTGTGATATGTGAGGAATATAGAACAAGGTAGCAACATCATAAATACACACTTTTCTTTTTCAGTCTCCTCTTCCATTTTTAGTTCCTGGTTAAGTTTCTTCCTCCAAGAATTCTTCATCAAAAATATTCATGACTCTCCCTCAATGCAAGAACACTTTGATCTAATAACCTGGCATTCTCTGATGCTCACCTTCCCAACACGATTGCTGAAGACCGAAAGGGTGTATAAGCAGATGTGGTAAAGAAAGATGATGGTGCCTGGCTATCAAAAGGTCTTATAGGTTTGAAGATAAACAAGCAGCCATCCAGCTGAGAAGCAACAAAGCCCACATGGAAGAAGTACACCGGCCTGTGTGATCATGAGGTGTCTATGGGATCAGGTATCAGGCATCAAAGTCCCAGAACAAAAAATCGTATCAATGTGAATGCATGGGAGGCCACAGTGAAAACCAAAAGTCCATCTTTACATAATTGGACAGCCCCTCACAAAGGGTTACAAGAAAGAGTCAAATAAGTCAGTGTGCAGTACAACACCTACAAATCAAACAATTTCCTCTAATTTTTTAATGCTTCCTCCCCTCCACTGTTGTGACCCCAATTCTACTTTACAAATGCAGCTAGACTATATCATGTACAGTGGTACAGATAAGAGCTCACAACACGGAGAATCCAGGACAGATAAACCCCTCAGGACCAATAATGAGAGTAGTGATATCAGGAGTGTAGGAAGATGGTGGGGGTGGGGAGAAATAGGGAATAATTACTTATAACCTCCCACCCCCTCCCCAGGGGGACAAACAACCGAAACGTCATTGAAGGGAGACAGCAGTCAGTATAAGACGTGAACTAAATAAAAATTTATAAATTATCAAGGGTTCATGAGGGAGGGCGGGTGGGGCAGAGAAGAAAGAAATGAGGAGCTGATCCTAAGGGATCTAGTAGAAAGAATATGTCTTCAAAATGATGATGTAAACATTTGTACAAATGTGTTTGACATAGATGTATGTGTGGATTATGACAAGAACTTTAGGAGACGCCAATAAAATCATTAAAAAATTATTGAATTATGCATCTTTTACATTTAAATTAAATGCACCCAAAGTACTTGTTCTGAGTATCTGTTCAGATGCTCAGAAGACAAGTTGCTAATATGATATATTTCTTTGTTATTAATTTCTCAATCATTTTGGAAAAAAAGTATCTAAAATTTGTCTTTAATATATTCTTATTCCTATATTCTTTATGAATGTGATGAGAGATAAAAAGTGAAAATTTTTAGATGCATTGCCACAGTTATTCAAGAAGTTCAGACACGTAATGTCTGAACACTCAGTTGTTCTATCTTTGACAGCAATATTGTTTTATACTACCTCTACCTTTTACTTAGTTATCTAATTCAACAAATGTTATCAGATGCCTACAATATTATAGATATTATGCTAGAGATTAATGATTCTAAGGGAAATCCAATAGGATTCCCTTGGTTAATGAGTTGTGGATTTGAATTCCTGTGAGAGAGATAAAAAATGTAGAGATGTGGGACATACAAGACTGATGCACTACTTTCTAATTGAGAGTAGTCAGGAGAGGTGATTTTTTAAATTTAATTGTATTTTTCAATTAGTCTAGTATTTGAAGAATTAGAAAATATGAATGAGTAGCCCAAAATCCTAGGAGCCACCTTGCCAAGGTAGGTGATTGAGAAAATGTGGAGTAGTGTGTGAGTTAAGGAAAATCCGTAGTTGTTTGCCATCTTTATTAGGATTTGAATGAACATCTTTTTGAGACAAGGAAATATATTTTAAAATGTTTCAAATGGTCATGAGTGCTTTTTATAGTTTCTTGGACTTTATTTTAAATGCTATAATGAAATATGGCAGTGTTTTTTCTTTTATTAAAGCCCCATGTTTGTGAGTGTGTGTGTGTGTGCCTGTATGCTGTGTCTGTGTGTATTTGCTTATTTGAACATCACCAGTGCATGCTTTAGTGCAGTGGTTCTCAACCTTCCTAATACCACGACCCTTTATACAGTTTCTCATGATGTGGTGACCCCCCAACCATAAAATTATTTTCATTGTTATTTCATAACTAATTTTTCTATTGTTATGACTCATGAGACCCATGTGAAAAGGTCATTGTATCCCCAAAGGGGTCATGACCCACATGTTGAGAACTGCTGTTTTAGTGGATAAAAAACATCATGTGTCCAGTAAAATAAAATATTTACAAAGAATTCTATATTTGAAATGAAAAACATCACAGAGGAATAAGGCCAAATCTAAAGGAATAAGGCCAAATCTAAAATCTATACTCTATTCATGGATTAGAACTCTCAAAATTGTTAGAATGTTAATTAGCTTTAAATTGATCAGAAAGCTCAAAGCCCCAAACGGAATTCCAATTTCTCTTTTGTTAGGAGGCATTAAATGGAAATATAAAATTAGTCTGAAAGGAAATGGTTCAGAAGAATTAGGAAATACTTGAAGTATAATTAGGACACGTGAAATGGATCCATCATCAAGTTTAAAGAGACTTCCTTCACCCAAATTTAGAACAGCTTGAGCATCAACATAATAACAACGTTAATGGATTATTACTAACAGATTTAATAGATTATAAACCACAACAGAAATTCAGATTCCATGTGTTCATACAGATTTAAATAAAGCAATACATAACTAAAAAATGAAACAATGATTTTCTCATAGTTTCAAAACATGTAATACATATAGGAGGAATCACTGATCAAAAGGTTTGATGGTAAGCAGCTATTTATATAGTGTGACATTATCTTACCACATATTATTTATGAATTATAATTAGAAATACATAGTGTTACAAGTAAGAAATCAGAATAATATTCTATGAAATGCTTAAAATAAACAACATTAATACTAACATATAGAGGTGTCCTAGAATTCTTGATATGATAAACAAAGAAAGACCACATGATTTTTTGGTGCTCAAAGCATAAACATAGCAAATTAATAAAGTAAGGAAACAAAATAACCTAAATCTCATCATGTAGAAATATCAAAGAAAGTCAAATAATGGCCATTCTAAATAATAAATCGTTTTCCTCAAAAATAAAAGGTGAACAAAAAGAGGAAGAAGATGAAGGAAGGGTGTGGAAATACTGCAGATGAGAAATGTCGTGAACAGTCAATGAAACATAAAAAGATAAGAGTAAATTAAATTAACTTTGTGATCCTGGATTGGATTCTCAACAAACTAAAATGCATTCATAAAATCCAAACTGAAGCAACTCCCTACATCTGAAAGTGCACTCCTGATGTAACTGTTGTTTCATTTCAATGCTAATCTTGATTTTAAAACCGTGGTTATGAAATAAAATGCACTCGTTGGAAAGTACACAATGAAAAGTTTAGGGAAATAGCAGCAACATATTTCATAAATAGTTTTAATAAAAATCTACATATACATCTATCTTCGCTATACCTATCATCTATCTATCTCTCTGTCTACCACCTACCTACTTACCATCTATCTAGCAACAACTGAATGGTAAAACAAAATATAGTTAGCTATAAATAATTTATGCATCTAAATAACTAACAAATGATTTCTTGTATTATTTTTTCCTAATTTATTTGGTTTAAAATTAGAATAATAAGAATGTTAATGTTCCTTCACCCTTCCTTATTCAGAAAGTTACCACTATAACAACATTGGGTCAATCCCGAATGCTATTCATTTTCTTTTAAATCTGCCTCAATTTCATACTCTACATCTAATACACTTGCCTTAGACTTATTAGGGTGTCTTCATAAAAGAAGTCCATTAAAAACAATGGTTTCCTTGGGGATCTACTGGGCCAGTTAAATTTAAGGCAGAGAAGTTGGATCAAGAAGGTTTATGGTGAATATTTTATGAGATTCTAAATGGGTAAACTTGATTTCTCTTAGAACATAGGATGAGCATGGGAGTTTACTAGGAATAAGTTTCAATAAAATTAAAAAAAAAAAAACTTCATTTGTAGGAAAAGGCCAGGATATTGTGCCAAGAATTTTTTACTTCACAATAATGAACCTGCTCATTCTTCAAGGGTAACAAAGAGTTGTCCTATGATACTTTTGTTGGAAAATTTTATCCCATCCACTCTCAAACCCTGATCTTAGTTCTTCAAGCCATTTTGTTCATAAAATTTAAAGAATATTGAAAAGAAACACATTTAAGGCTCTTGAAGATGTCAAAGTTCCCTTTAGTCATTGAGATAGTTTATTGTGCCAGCCTGACTAATAAACTCAGGTGGGATTGAATGAGGGGCGGAGAGATGGATGGCTTGGTGAGCTTTGCCTTTCTTGTCTCTCGCTCTGTGATCATT